CAATGTGGCTTTAATGCAACTAGTCTTATAATTATCTACTAGTCTGCAACAGTTAGACTCGATGATTACACATAGATGATTTAACTACTTTAGGGGCATTTCACTTTTCTAAAAGTTTCACAGGCCAATAGTTTTAAATAGAGCACCACAAACAACATGTATTCTTTTAGAAATAAACTGTGATACTTCTAAAAAACACATATTCACACCTAGCCACACTCATTAACAGTTAGACAGAGGCGGTTGCAGTTAGGCTCCCAACAGTCTGCAAAAGAAGTCATGAAGCAAACAAAAGAGGCTCCCTTATCAAGAGCATCCCAGCCCAAAGGTGTTTCTTCACAAACCGTTAATTCCATTATCTTATCTTATCATGTCAGAGGCCAACAGAAACCGTGGCCAACCCCGGGGGGTAATGACACCTCCTACTGGGCTAGTCTAACACATGTACATATAAAACGGACTCCTTCACCATTTGGAGCATCAACAGAGCGACCTAAGGAACGCAGACACCTCTAACTAAGGAGTGCAGGATGACATCTGTATCAACCATGACGAGCAGTCAGGACATCGCCCAAGCCACAGCCATACTAGGTACGTCTACAGGCGCATGCCCCAGGGGCCCTCATCGCAAAAAGCAGCGCTGTGAAAACGCCGTAGATGGGACTGAATTTAAGCTAGAATATAGAGGCAGTAATGGGTATGTGTATACCGTTAAATATACCAACGGAGCAGTTATACTTCGTGTAGATTGTGGTGAGGGAGTGTTTTGGGGGGAGACACAACGCATGTCTACTAGAAACTGGAAAGTCTTTCGCACAGTTGTTTGTGCGGACTTGGACAGTGTGGGATTCCCAGAGATGCTGTATGTTTCCCAGTGGAACAGTCCAACAGGCCTTGAACTTTACAGGGTCGAGGCTGATCGCTTCAACCGTAGCCCCGATGACTTTATTTTTCTCAGTGTATGTGATGACAGGGAAAGTCTTATTGCTGTCAGAGGGGTTGAAAACTGAAGGTTAAATCCTTACCCTCTGAGCATAGAAGAGCGCGCTACATGGTTTAAGGACATGTTTTTTTTATACAGTGGTGCGACTGGAGACCTATGCTGCATCTGTTTAGCCAGATTGACGACACCATCAAGAGGGTAGTCTCAACACTGCGTACGAGGGTATTAGAAAACGCCTTGTTTTTGATGATTTTGCGACTTGTCCGAAGACTGGTTTGCCTTCTACCCTGTGCAAACCTAAAATCATAAGGCCGTCTGACAACTAAATAAACAAAATGGTAGGTTTAGTTTGTGTGTGTGTATGTGTGCGTATCTATGCAACAAAATATAACATCTTTTTATCGTTCTCATTTTTCAGAGGGAGACATGCAAGCATGGGACCTCACCAACTCCACCCCCCTCTCCACAATTGCTGCCGCAGGACCCTACAGGATCGGGTCTGTGTCAGGAAACCATTATCGACATCAAGCTTGCAACCCACCACTTGCTGATGTTGGCGCTAAATGACTTTCTACAGGATACATGCTACAGATGTCAAACAGCTCATCCCAGTCAGGTGCAACACAGCTGCTTGCACGAATTGTCCGAGTATTTCTTTGACACCTACTATGACGATGTGATGATAAGGCTTATGACAGACCGATTCATCCCTGCCATTCGACTGTTTGTACGCGCATACACAGTCGTTGGGACTGGAACACAATTCAGCAGGATTGCAGAACACACCATGACTGAACTGAGATCATCACAACATATAGTATGCGCAATTAACGACAACATTGGGCTGCTGTTAGAATCAAGTCGTTATGCCCAGCTTGTTAAACCAGCCATGCTTTGCATGATTGGTAACTACTGGGCTGGGAGACACCTGGTTTAATGTATACTGTTCAGTATTCCTTGTCTGTGTGAATGAAATAAAAAGACGTGTTAACACCAACATTTTAGTCATTTGTGTCTTGCATACATCATGGAAAACACCTTGTATAAAATTTATCATGAACCGGCCCATCCTGCTGGCTTGGCCAGTTTAAATAAGCTCCGTTTAGCTACCGCCGAGGCAACAGGGGTAAAACCCTCATTATCACAGGTCAAACATTATTTAGAACAAGATGACACTTACACACTCCATAAACCAGCTAGGATCCACTTTCCCAGAAACAGAGTATTGGTTAATGGAATCGACAAACAATTTCAAGCCGATCTGGTTGATATGTCTGAATACATGGCAGATAATGACAGTGTTAGATACCTGCTAACATGTATAGATGTATTCTCAAAATATGCATGGGTTAGATGTCTCACAACCAAGACGGGCCCGGCCATAACAGCCGCATTTGAGGATATACTTACCGAGGGCAGGATCCCCATGAAACTACAAACAGATGAAGGCAAAGAATTTTATAATACACCCTTTAAACAGCTAATGAAGCGATATAACATCAAGCATTTCTCAACAGCTAGTGAGGTTAAATCTAGTATTGTTGAAAGAATCAACCGCAGCTTCAAGGGTAGAATGTGCAAGTATTTAACATCCGTCAACTCAAGGAGATATGTACAAGTCATCCCTGAGCTCACACAGGCATATAACAATGCTTATCACAGGTCTATCCAAATGGCTCCGGCAGAGGTA